AATGTTCGCGAAGGACTCGGCTCGCCATGGCGGCAGCAGTCGTGGCCAAAAGACATGAAGTAGCTTCGACAGGACCTCAATGTCTCTAACAAGCTACCAATACGCGTCTATATGAGTATAGCAAGTGTGACCATACCTATGGGCCAATCACAAAGAGTAAGCCGATTGTAACCCCGATGATAGCCGCTCTATATTCATTTCTACCTGGTAACAGGTTATAAGATATTGAAAAATATATGAAAAAAGCCATCAAAAAAGAAGGGTCGGAAGGAGTTCAGTAGAGGGAGATGATCAAAAAGACATTTATGACCTTGGAAGTGTCGCCAAACTTTCTAGACCTAATGCTATGAACCATTTCGCTCAAAGCTAGTGGGGGTTCCTTAGCCAGATACATGTTATCCTTCTGGGCTGTTTGTTCTTCTATAATTTGTTTGATTCTTAAAGGATATTTACTGAGAAACCCTATCCGAAGGCACTATAGCAGCGCGTTATTGGTATTCACACACGGATATCAAAAAAAAAAAGATACATTTTTGAGGGATCCAATTACCAATCCAATTTGTTTCGTTAAGTAGATAGTAACACTTTTGAGAAGACCAAAGGCACAAAAAAACCAATTTTCACAATGTCCATTTCAATGAGCAAAAGCAACTGGTTGCCTTTCAACTCCTTGTTGAGAGCGATAACTCACCCCGTCAACTTTCAGTCCTTGTTCATTCAACAGTGTGATGGTATCACCAAGGTTCGAGAGATGAACATCCGGAATGTCGAACGCTTGCGTTGACTTAGCACCCAAAGCTGCATCACGCGGCAGTGCTTGGAATTCACCAGCTGAATTTTTAATTTTCCAGGAAGACAGGGGCATTGTGTGGTCTTTTGGATTTGTGAGAGTAACCGACCTGCGTCTGGCTCGGGGACCATCTAACTCAGGATTGATCAACGCCTCGTCAATTGTCACAGAATCCTCTGTCATCTCGGCGTCTCTCTCCTTTGTCCCCATATAGTCACCCCAGGTCTCTGATGATATGGCATGCCCTGTCTTATCATCGGTGTGCACAGCTTGTGATGCGAATCCGAGAAAGACTCCAACCCATCGACCAGAGCGTGGGTAGTTGATCAAAAGGCCACCATCTTGGAACACACCGTCGTCATGTGCGAATCGCTTAACATTGCCTTGATTCATATGCACATTGTGAATACCTTTTCGATCGCTGAACGGTTCTCCAAATAGGTAAATATCGGCCTTATGGTCAATGGCCTGTTTGACTTCAGGTTCTAGAACATCAATCATATCATTGTTCGAACCTGGTTCGTCATGGGGTAGGATTCGACCGGTGTTGACATTGAATAAGTTGCTCCGGATGTAGTCTAGTCTCACACCAGCAGGGGTTGACTCCGTTTCTTCGAGGGGATAAAACCCCGAGGATAGGTCGGTGAGACTGTTGACGATAGGGTGATTATTGAAGTCGTGATCCACCCAGTAGGTAAGTCGCGATTCATCCTTGTCACCAGACTTGATGTTGATTGCTGCTCTGAAGAGCCCAGCAATTTCTTTGTTACCTCGGCCGGCCCGACGAAACTTGTGGCCAGAATGGTGACTCAATCCTCCTTTATCACTGAAGTATAGTGATAAATGCGGGCTTTTGTCGTCATCCGCTTCATGTTCAACAACGTAGGATACAGGGTTTGCTTTCCAGACACCGTAATTACGAAGCGGCATATCGAGGAAGATATGGCAAAAGAAATTATTCAACAAAGTGGATTTGTGGAAGGATATGATTGAAAGGTAGTTTCTTAGAATGTAGAGGTGAGCTAAGTGCAAGTATCAAGTTGAGGTGGGGGGCTGATGTAGATACTTAATAGTCGGAGCTCAGCGTCCAGGGCATGTGACATGAATATGATGTTATTCTAACACTGGGTAGTTTAGACTCACGACAAAGAAGCGTTGCGAGATGAAAGTCTCACACGCGATGCTTAAGACCAGTCCAGACTCTTGGTCTAGCTACGTTACGGTGTAGTTATTCGCCCTGCCCAGGTGGAGATCAGACCCATGACGCATTGGTGACCTAGCCAGTTACAAACGACCACCCAATGCGCACAAATCGGACAGATAAATTGTCTAGACTTTTGACAGTGATCTGGATTTCAGCCCCCGTTTTTGCCATACGGCTCTGAATATTCGGCACTCGGGGTATGCGGATTTGGACCCTCTATCATCCACATCGTATACCACGATCACAATCCGAGAACCGGTCCTTCATCCCTCGTTGAAATAAATTCAATTTTTTCAGCGAGCAAATGGATCATGAATTATATATGTGGCTTTGCAATTGAAGCTTCCGAATAGATCTTTTCCCGTAAGCTGCCTTATTCATGGGAACCAATCAAGCGTATCGTGTATAGCAAAGGGTTTATCCCATGAATACTTTGCGCCCTATTGTTGATCAGATACACGGAAACGAGGCTCAAGATAGTGCTATTCAAAGCCACGGATAAGTTGGTCATCCGTGGTCCTCAATAAATACACGTAGGTGTTCGTTGAATTATCTAGGCTCCGACGCTTCCGGAATACAATTGCCTAGCTGCAATCTAGATTCAACGTAGAGCCGGCCGTCCCAGCCAGAAAAATGTTGGTGTGTTTAGCCTGTACCGACCAGATGATTGCCACTTTCGGGTACGCCACATGACACACGTTGATCATGTTGGAACGAAGCCTATATTTTGTTTAGTTTGCATATTTTGTTGGGTTTTGGTATCTTTAGTCATAGTCCCATATAAATTGCCAGAAATAGGGGTATAGAAATACAGAGTGTTTTTACGCGTGCTGATTGGCCCATACAATTGTTGTACTGACAGGTCATCCGATCCCACAACCTTGTGCTTGAAAATCAAACGCCCGGTTTGATTTTCGCCCGGTTTGATTTTCATATAACCAATTGGTATGAAGTAGAGACGAGGCTGAACTCAATATATAACCAGGGAGAGTTCATACCTAGAAAACGTGAATCGGCCCTGCGGCGTCATAGTCTATTGTTTTAGTAGCCGATAGGGCATCACTAGAATACCGTCTCAACATCTGAACCTGTCGACTAAACTCCCTTGCCCAGCGATGAATACTTTGTTACGTCCATAATAGTTTTTCTTTATGTTGAAAACTCCCTCTTAATTCAAGAAGCAGATCAAGTTTCAAAATTATTCGGAGGCAGAAACCCAAAAAAAGCAAGTTCAAAGATTATGCTTAGATTCTGGTGATGTGCATCGAAGTGGTGCCGTGTATATTTCATGTAATTTATTGGTTATATCCGAGCTTCATGCTTGATTCGTTCAGCCACCGAGACACCAGCGATCTCCTTGCGAGGCTCAAGCCATAGAGCATGACTTTTCGGTCATTGTGAAATCAGCTGTGACCTGCAGTAAGGAATACATCATTTTTCCTTGCTGCAAAAAGCAGAAAATTCGTATTTAGGCTTACCCGCATCCAAGTCTTGTTGGACCTAGACTCTTCGGTGGCCTTTCTACCGTCGTTCTCGAAATCAGCCTGACCAAAAGACACTTGATAGTTATTTCCTGGACCCACCGCCAAGGCCTTAGCGCAGATCAAATATTGAGCGGGCCGCATTAACATGAGAGATATTGTACTACGCGGCTCGTACGGTACAATAAAGGTTAAGGTTTAACGTTTCAGCGGTGAGCGGAGACCGAGTGCCCACGAGGCATATCGTGTAACGTTACGTAGCAAGATACAGTACTATACAAGTTGCATCTTACCGTGGTCCTCAATTTGATGCGGGCCCGCGCCAAGAGACTAGCTAAAGGAGGTTAGCGGATACCTGGTCAATACAAGGTGGAGTATCTATCTGTCTTGACAAACTCTTTCATTCTGAACTGATTCCGCTTGATCTCATTCGCTATATATACATACTAGTCTATACTGTTTTAGCATGATGTGACATGTTACCGTCAACGTTATTACATCACCAGGTAATATCTCAAGCAGCGGTCAGATAAAGAAAGGCTGTCTAAAGCTTCTAGACCATATCATGGGATCATCATGATATAATAATCTGTTCTATATGACATGGTGTAGGCATATATATGAAGACAACTAATTGGTCTCCCGTCAGTCAATCGTGGAAAACAAATATCCTTACTATCAGCATGAGGGCGAAATGTGCCACCATAATTGTGCTTTTCCTCGGCCTAGTTGCTACATCACCTGCAGTGAAAGCAAATGGGCGTGAATGCCTTGAAGGTAAGTCTACATGGGGCTTATTGACAGAACTCATTATAACATACTGTTAGTTTCTACAAATGGAGAATGCGATTGGATAGACCCCGGTTGCAAAAACTGGGATTCTATCAGCTGTACATGCCATGACAGCAACTACGTTTTTGAGAGCTTTGTCAGAGACAACACTCCAAATCAAGAGATTAACAACCCGAGCAA